GGGCCCTCCTCCCCCAGCACCTCCGTTCACGTCTCCCCCTCCCCCGTGGTAGCCAGGCCACCCCCTCTTCCCGGGGCCCCAAAACGGAACTGGTGGTCCTGAATGAGGAGGTCTGGCATGGAGGAGGCAACCACGAGGGCGGCTTTCCGTAGCAGGGCCAGGGCACCGCCGGGACAGGAGAGGACTACCCATGCTGGGTCAGGCCTACGTGCCACCCCCCAGAGCCCGGGGGTCCTCCGGAGGCCCACCAGTGGGGCTCGTCTTGATGTTGTCTTTGGCACGTGGCCGGGGGGGGGGAGGTCTTCCCGTGGCACTTATCCCGCCTCCGCTTGGGGTGCTGAGGCCTGCCGAGGTGGCTGTGCGGCCAGAACTCAGTGGCCCCCAAAGCCCAGGCAGGACCCTCCCCAACGTGCTGCGTGCCGCTCACCCCCGAGGCAGCCGCCTGGACTCCTGAGGACCCGCTTCTAGCACCTGACTGCACGCTCCCCCTGCTGGGGACCCCGGGGGTCAGAAAGAAAGGGAAGACACCCACTAGGCACACCCACAACAGCCACTGGTGTGTGTGTGTGTGGGGGGGAGAAACACACACACACAAGGCCCCAGCCCAAATCTGCCACTTGCTCGGCACTTGAAGACGCCTGACGTTGCCGGGCCTTGGCGGCCGGGTTTCTGTGTGCGCACACACACATACACACGCTGCCGAAGAGCTGGAGCACAGACAGGGCCCCTCTCCCCCACCCACACCCCTGCTTGGCTGGCACCTGAGCCAGGGCATCACCCACCACCAGCCTCTCCTCGCCCGGAACCTCTCTCTCTCCCCCTCTCGGCAAGGCTCCGCCCCCAGCTTCCCGGCCTGTCCCCAACATAGACCGCATCGCTCGGCATGGGCACAGGGGTTGCCCACCGGACGGTGGCCGCTCTGCCCAGGGTCGGCGCTGGCCCCCGTGGCCTGCCAGGTGCAGGAAAAGGTGCTGCTGCTGCTGCAGCCACAGGGCTGGCCTCCCC